TGTAGTTGAATATGAATAATATGCTCAAAGTTATGGTCTTTATTAATTGATATCATTGAAGATGAAAATTCATCTACTAATTCAATTAGAAATTCATCAGAACGACATTCTTTACGAAGAAAGTCATGTAGTATTACATACTAATACAAATTCAACTTTGTTTCAAATAGAATATGTTTCAAAATTTCTATTTCAATATTAAAATTTATTAAAAATAAATCGTTTAATTTTAATAATTAAAAAATTTTAACAATAGAAGAAGAAGGATAGCGTCGGGTGTGGATGAGGTAGAGAGCTCCCTACCTAGATGGTGTTGGGTGCTAGATGTGTGGCATTGGATGCTAGTTGCTGAAGAAAGATAGGATGATGTAGTTGATGAAGTGTTGATTTCTTGTTGATTTAAAGTTGTTAAATGAAAATATGATGAATGAGTTGTAGTGATAAAGTAGTATATGATGATTTTGTTGTGAGTTATTAGTTGAGAAGTAAATATGAGTTGTGAGTTGTGTGTTGACAGAGTTGTATGTTAACTATATAATTGTGTTAAATATATATATGATGTGTTGTTGAGATGTTTCTTGATTATAGAGTTGAATATGAGTTGTGATGATTGAGTTGTCAAATGTAAAGTTGTGTGCTGATTTTGTTGTTGTGTTGAATTTATAAAGATTTGTCGTGTTGATCGGCTATGTTGACCACTTAGAACTAGAGGGGAGGTTTTCAAAAGTTACATATCTCATTGTGTGGATATTGTGTTGTGGAGCTTTAAGAGTCTGATTTGTTGAAAACCCTTCGGGAAGTTGATCCTTGAAATAAATACTTAGGACTTTGTTGGTACCATATGTGGGCAAGGCTGAGACGCATATGTATGAAGCGACCATAGTATAGTGTTCAGGTCGAGTTATACTGATTATAATAGTGACCTACCAAGTAAAGTATGAAGTCGAGAACTTCGTTCCTAACTGAGCATCGAAAGGGCGTATTATTTGGAGGGTAGTTGGTAGACTAATCTCATATAAGGTTTAGTTAAGCTAGCTAATGTCGTGATAGGCTTGTACCCAATTATTCTACCTTGACAATAGTACTATACTTCCTTGTTTAAGTGACAACATTCAAGAAATTAAGTTGCTTTGTTGTGGATTTATATCCAATTTGTTGTTGATTTAGGAAGCCCAAAAAGATCACCACGTGTTGTCAGTTTGGTTGCTATGTTGTAGGATATTTCTTAGTTGAAATGCATGATGACGCATATAGTTATTGTGTTGAACATATAATGTGTTCAGTTGATTTTGTTTTTCATATGTTGTCTTGAACTAAAGTTGTTGTGTTGATGTATGTTGTATAGTCTGATGCCTTGTTGTTGTGTTGTTAAATATGAGATGATGATGTGGTGTTCTTGTGTTGTATATATATATTGTTTCTTTTACTCTAGTTTACCCTTGCGTGTTTCCATATGATGTAGACTACGATGATCATACATGGTATGTGAGTAATGCAAAGATAGGACTGGAGTGTTGTTGTGAAAGCCACTCAGTGGCACAAGAGTTAGAGGATATTTGGTTGACTATTAGTTGATGATAGACTTGTACATAGATAGTAGTAGTTGTCTGACTAACAACTTAGGATGTATAGTTTGCATTTACCAGATTATTGTATTTATATTGCATATATTTATTTAGTTGTTTACCTTTATATACATGTAGTATAATACATGTTTCTCGTATTTGTATGTCTATAATCTTAAGTTAGATGTTTTTCGTTGCTAGTAGTTGTGTTGTACAGTATAGAGATCAAGTCAGGTTGTTATGGAGACAACTGTGTTACATACATGATTACTACAGTTGCCATGGTCTCAACATCACCGGTAATCGAGATGGTTGAATGGTCCAAATTAACAATTTCATCATGCAGCTTTGTTTTGGGTGGTTTTGACATTCTTTACTATCGAGGTTGTCACGATGACTAACACAATTACGATGGGAGCTTTCATAATTTAATTTACGTGATTGATGAAAGGAATAAACAAAGTTAGAAGACTAATTTGTCATTAGTAGTCATTATATATAGTTAGTATAAATAGTTACTCAAATTGAAGTAAAATTATTATTCATTTATTACTCACTTAGATATTTGAATCTGTCATGCCTTAAGCATCGAAGTATCTTAACAGGTACCCCATCCTTTGGAGTAACTGACTAGCACAGAGTTAAGAGATTCTAATAGTAAAAATTTAATATTATACCCTCAAACAAGTACACTTAGAAAAACAAAAAATTAAGTTTCTTATAATAGGAATAACTTAAGCATCCCTATACCAAGAAAGAGCTAACTAGACTCTCACAATATCTAAGAAAACGCCAAGTCAAAACCATGTTGGAAGAATTTATGTAGAAAAACACTTAATTAAAAATGTAGGTTTAAGATTTTTTGTATTTGAATTAATTAGCTTCCAATTCTACCAATTAATTACAAAACAATGTGGAAGGTTAAAGCAACAAATAGTTGCTTCAACTTTTTCAAAATTTCACCATTTATAATCGATTCAAGGAACTATCCAAACACACTATCAATATTTTAGTTTCTCATAAATTTCATTTCATTGTAAATCAATATATCATTACAAATTCCCTCTAAAAGGATTGAGATGGAACTACGTCTCCAAGGCATTTTCAAAAGTATTCATCATTCAGGAATGATACTTCATATGTTGAATACGGAAGATAATGGTAAGGAAGAAGGTAATGTGTTTTATCTATAATATAATAAAAAAGATCATTCTATTTGGTGTACGTATGTTTTTAAATAATTTTATTTTTAAATTTTTAAATAATAAAAAATAATATTAGAAATTAATCATTCTTATAAAGATAAGATACAGATTCAAAATTTTTAAATTTAAAGACTAAATATAATATTAATTGATTTATCAAACATTAGTAATTTTTAAATATTTTTATTAAATAAAATATAGAGGTGCAGAATGTTTTAACCTCACTAATAAAATAATAAAAAAAATATTATACATAAAACAAATCTTAAGCATGTAATTAACTAACAATTCACGTTTCAAGATTTTTTTTTTACTTCCTTATTTTTTCTTACATTTTAATTCCTTAATGTCAGATATAATGATAAGTCTTTAATTTTTTTTTTTATAATCATATTATTGTCAAGAGAAATCACCTGCACAAGACTTTATTTAACACCTCCAACATTCCGATTTCTGAATAATTAACTTGTTTTCAAAGTTGTTATATAATTTCTTTCTTCCTCAAACAAACTAGAAAAAGAAGAAAAAAAAAAGTCTTTCAACTTTTTAATGAATTATCACCAAGACAATTGTTTTCATTAGTATCCCAAGAGCGATTGGTCTACTGGGCTGGAAAATACACGTGATAAGATACAAGAAAAAATATTTTTTTTTCCATCAAGAAGGATATATCACAAGTATAATTCCTTATTCAAGGAAAAATAAATTCTCTTTCGTTGTGTTTTTCATATCTTGGGAGCATTGAACTAAGAACATCAAAAGGAATTAATACAAATATTTTATCTAAAAAAATGGAAGTAATCAATTAATAATTTTGGAACAAATTTTATTAAACTTAATTGAAACATTGAAAGAAATGGAGATTAAAGGAAAAAAAATAAGAATTTAAGGGTTAATTAAGACAAATTATTATCTTTTATTAGCACAATATAATATTATGTTTTTTATTGCATTAGATGTTTGAAATTATGATTTTTAAATTGAAGTAATGAATAAAAATAGTATTTTATTTTCAATTATATTAAATCAACTGAAAATTAAATTTTTTACTTCTAACTATTCTATATCTATAAGTCAATACAAGATAATTAAAATTAGAATTACATAAACAAAAGGAAAGGAATTAATATTTGATTTCCAAGTCTAATGTTATTTGATAAATGACACCTTAAAAACTAGGGTTGAGCATTACTAAAATTTAAATTTTAGGATTAATAAAAAGATATTTGTTATTAATTTTATAACATAAAAATATCACATATATCGATAAAATTAAGGTTTCATATGTTGTTAAAAGAGACCTAATATTTGCATTTCTTATTAAAAAAAATAATCTCTTTCAAAGTTTGCTTTATGGTTAGACTTATATGATTCTGTTAATCCTAATTTAAAGATTAAAAACAATCATTTATTTTATAACTATGTAAATTTATTATATGTAAAATCCTTAAAGGAAGTAATTAGATTTAGGATGGTGTGTGTCAGGCAAAACACTATGGTTGACTTAGTAATGGAGTTAAAATATTATATTTAGAGTTTTAAGTTTAAATTCTCATATCATTATTTTAATTTTAATAGACAAAAAAAGGGTTTATGCTAGTTAGAGTTGGCGTAGAGTTGAAATATTAAGGTAATTTGTACAAAGTCGTAAATTTCAACCTTAGTTTTTGTTTTTATGAGAAAAAAATAACATTATCAATTATGCATTTAATTAAATATTTTAGTAGCGTAAATATTTTTATAATATAGCTAAAAGATATTAACTTTTTTTTCTTATAAATCAAGATATTCTAATTAAAAGTTAAAGACTGGTCTCTTAAAATACCAAAACTCAAAACTCATATAAAGGTTGACCTCTTCCAACTAATATTTTTCCATGCATACCCACTATGGATCAAAAATAAACTTTTATATTAATCATTTTAAGAGTAATATCTAAATCAATTCCTAATCAATAAATAATATAAATTCATTGTACTAATAATATTTGAATTAAACTCATTAATTATAACTAAAACCCATATCTAGCAAAATCCGGGTTTCACCTTCAACGGAGACAAAATAACATACACACACAAAGCAGAAGATTAAGACTAAAATAATACTAAACCATTTATTAAAGAAAAGAAACTTCTAAAGAGCCCTAAAAGACACCTAAAAAGAGAATAAAGAATATGAAAGAGAGGGAAGAGTTGCGCAAACAAATGTTCACAATTGGCACCAACCAAAGTCGAAACGCCAAACATGTCAGCCACTTTCGGAATTCTTAATTACATGCGTTTTGACCATTTCGCCCTTCCCCTCCCCTTTTAATACCAAAACCTCCCTTCACGCCTTCTCAGTTCTCAGTTCTCACAGCAACAAAATGTCGAAAGGAGGAAAACTAACGAAGCTCAAGTCACTCAAGTCAGTGCTCAAGAAGTGGAACTCGTTCAGCTCCAAACACAGCCGCGAAAGCGTCGCCGCCGATGACGACGACGGCGAGTCCCCGTCGCTCCGCCCCGTGTACGTGGGGAAGACGCGGCGGCGGTACCTCGTGAGCGCGGAGGTTGTCGGGCACCCGCTGTTCCGGGAGCTGGTGGACAGGTCCCGCGACGGCTCCGAGGAGGAGGAAGAGGAGACAATCAACGTGGCTTGTGAGGTTGTCCTTTTCGAACACTTGTTGTGGATGCTCCACAATGCCGATCCTCCACCTGAGTCGCTCGATGAACTCGCCGATTTTTACGCGTGTTGATTGGTTATTGGTTGATCCTCTCGAGTCCACGACCAACACAGGACGAGTGAGAGGGTTTTGATTAATTAATTGCTGTGTATTTGTCTCGGGTGGCGTTATCTTCGACCCATGTTTTAATTTATATGACAAATAGTGAATGAGTGTTGCTGTTGTTCTTCGTAAACTCTCTTTTCTTTCTCTCTTTCTAAACTCGTTTAATTGTTCACACGTAAAAAAAATTGTCTAGGGTGAATGGGTGATGGTATATTACAAGTTTCGCATTCAGTAGAATAAGAAATAAATTTGATAAGGTACTTCACTAATGAAACTTTTTCAGCTAATGAATTACGGGTCTTTCGAGTTGGTTTTTTTTTTTTTGGTATGTACTTAAGTCCAAATATGGTTTATACATAGTTTAATATATCAAACACTACGTTAACATTGTTAATTTTTACCATATCTTTCTTCTTGTGACATTATATCTCATAGACTTAAATTCTTTTCTCTTTTTCTCTATTTCTCTATTTAGGTTTTTAAGTAGCATTTCTTATTCACCTACTCTTTTTTTCTTTTTCCAAACTTATATATATATACATATATATAATCATGACTAATGAGGACAAACACGTGATTAAGGCATAATTAGCCGATTAGCACCGTATTACCTAATTTGGTAAGCGTTAGAAGAGGCCCATTACGTTCAGGGCCCATCACAAGTAGTATAAATAGGTCACATAAAACGAGGTATGTCACTGTTCATTTATTACCCTCGAGAATCGTGTTTGTCCTGACTTGAGCGTCGGAGTGCCTTTTGCAGGTACCTCCCACCTCTGAAGCATCTGCCCGGAGCTCTCGTTCGGCCCTCTAGTTACCAGAAGATTACGAGTGTGCCCCTTAGACAAGTATATTTTGGCACCCACCGTGGGGACGAATCGAAAACTTTAAGAAGACAAACTGAGCACCATGACACAAAATATCTTTATCACTAGAAGAACCAGCTTCAACCAAGGCACAATCAGGACAATTTTCAGATTTTCCATTTAAAATAATAGAAAATAAATTCAACTCTGTAAGTCAAAATTTCATCTGTTGTTGCCAACATAACAAATTTTCACCAGTAAATTTTTCTAGCTTACTACTCAAAGAATTTAAAATATCTATTGCAGACATGTTGATATTGAACAAGAAAAGAAAATTTTTCTCTCTAAGATTGTTAGAAAAATAAATTTAATAGAGCACAATAAAAATAAATATTTAGATTTATCAATAAAATCAATATCAACAACACAATGAATATTATAAAGTTAAAACAGAGCAATCAGTAACAACTAATTAAACACAAAGAGCAAATTAGAATATTAAATAATGGGTTTAGAGTAGCTTGAGTTAAAGCACGCAGAGCGTTATCCTTAGAGAGAAAACGCCCCCACTGCACTGGTAATTTAGAGTCTTAAAGTGCGCTCCTCTCCCAAGATACGTCAACCTGTAAGACCGTTCGAGTGCAGCGAAAGATCCCCGAACCAAAGAACACCGCTCCAAAATTATAATTTTATAGTAGAAATAATATTGAGGGAGAGAAAATATGAACTTGCTGTGTGTTTTCTGATTTTTTCATACCATTTCTCAGGTATATAAATATATATATATATATATATGAGAAATTGTTACATAATCGATAACTATGATAGTTTGGATTAGTTTTTACATAACACATGTAATCAACCGGTAGCTTTGGAGTATCTAATAATTTTTTCTTATATAGGAGCTATGTAGAAACTCTCAATAAATATGTTTTTGGTATGGGAAATAACACTAAAAAAGACCTAATGATTGTTGAACACTACATTCAAAAGTGTATAACCTGTCTTCTTCTAGAGTTATATATATTTTAGGAATGAATCTCTTACTTTTGCCATAATTTCATAAAATGCGTTGAATATTTATTATAATTATTAACCAACATATTTAAGCATTTATGATCGTAATTGTACAAGAAGTTCTGATATTTATATATTTGAGAATTTGGTTATAATGACATTTGATTTTAAGTCACATTACTTAAGTCAATCTATTAGAAGCTTAGATGATATACAACTCTAAATTCAGACTAAAGACTAAAGGTACATATACCTTAATTACTCATCCTACTTGATCAACCAGTTGGTCAATTAACTTGATTGACCAAAGGTCTAAATAGTACAAGTATATTTTTTATTTTCATACATATAAATGATTTAAAACCTAAAGCTAACATTAATTAATAAGAGCAATTGTAGAAATGATGTGGAGATTGCAATTGTGATATCAAATCCAATATAAGACTCTACATTAATAATAATTAGATGAGTTAATTTAGTCCTTAAAATTATAAAAGTATCATATTAGTATTTATTTGTGCAGTTTTACATGTCATTTGATATTTCATAAATTAAAATTATATTTTATTAATTTTAAGTAATTCTAATTAACTTATTGGCAATAAAAAAAGAAATTACAATTAATTAACATTTAGTTATAAGTTCACAATTAATAAAATTAATTAAAATGCAGATTAGTTATATATATAATTTTTCTTGTATTTTATATCTTTTCATAAATTTTTTTATTAAAGATGAAGTAGACAATATATAATCTAATTAGAAATCTTTAAAAGAAATTTTGATTCTGTTATATAAAGTTAGGTTATATCCTAATCTTATTGTAATATATATATATATATATATATATAGTTCACCTTATGATGATAATAGTAATTGTGACAATAATAAAATTATATATAATAATAGTATATAATAAAAAAGATAATGACTATTCTCAGAAAAGTGGTAATCAAATTTAGTATCAAGAGAATTTACATGATTCATGCACTAACGAAACTAAACTCCCTTAAAATTAATAATTGAGTCCGACATAGGTAATTTAGGATGTATCACTATTTGATAAAACTTGTGTATGAATTATATAAGCTAAGGATTGAAAATTGTATAAGCTAAAGAAAAAAGTTTGAAGTGACTTACCCAAGTTCACTCAATCCCCACTTATAATGAGGTTCAATTTCCTTATTCAAAATATATAATATATATATATATATGACCCCATAAGTCATGATTTCAGTGACATATTACCTCAGCATATTCACCGGTTACATCAGCCATATTATAGGTAATAACGTGCACGCCGTGTACAAACTACAAGGTACAAATAGAGCCAGCACAGATCTTGTACTGAGACGTGTTATACTCTGCTTACTCTCTGTTTCAAAAATATGAAACTATAAAAACAAATAGTAGTACAACTATCACAAAATTCTTTAATCAGTTCCAACGTCGAAAGAATTTGACATCGCATATATAATTATTTTTTTTGTTTTTTTATACACATATAATGGGCATAAATTATCTATTAATATAATGTTTTACACCATTAATCAATTGGAAATAATGTTTAGTATAATTATGATAAAAATCAACAATCAAATAATATATAATAACTTATGATTTAGATAGCTGCGAAAAAATTATGTTATCGATATGTATGCATTATTTATTCTTTTTTAAAAAAATATTAAAAATTTGTCTCTATTCTTTTTCATAAAATATTATCTTTTATACATCAAGTTAATCAAGAGGTATAATAAATGATCCGGTTCAAAGAGTTGATCGTCGGATTCTGAAAAAAAAATGGTCGAAAAGAATTAAGTCAACTTGATCAATTAGTAGTGTTCGCATTCACGTAAACATGAAAAATTACGTGAGAGTTATTATTCACAGCTTTCATGTTAAACATGATTTTTCACGTTTCAGACGTGAATGCAAACACGTTATAGATCACTAATTTTTAATTCAAAAATTTATTAGTTTATTTAGTCTGATTTTTCTTAATTTACTTAAAAAATTTAACAAAAAATAAAATAAAAATCGATTGAATTGAAAAGGTCATACCACAAAAAAATAAGTGACTTATAAAAAAATTGGAATAGACAAAAAAAAAAACATATATACACATTAATTTGTGTGGGTAGACAATTCAATCCATTTAATATTTCTAAACTAATCAATCAATTTTATATATAAATAGAGGAAAAATAGCTCTCTATTTAAAAATAAAACAAATAATGAGTAATTATTTAAAAAGAATGAGATTTAAAAACTAAATATCGAAGTAGAAAAAAGATGATAATAAATAAATAAATAAAAGTTAATGAAAAAGCGAATAATTTAGAAATAATTATATATGTAAATTAATTTCAAAAGTTATTACATTGGATATTCTTTATTAAAAGTATAGGTTTATTATATGATAAAAAAATTACTTCTATTATATTCCTTGAATTTCAAGTTAGTTTCCATTAAAAAAAACAAATGTTTCATTATACCAATCTTTTAAATCAACTTAGTTAAGATTTTATACATGAATTATGATTATATAAATTTAATTCATTTCAATAAACTCTAGTCTTTTTTCATTCTCTACCCACTTCCTTTTTCTTAAGATCTATTATAAGCCTATTGTATCGACTTGTTTGAGTTGATAAACTTGAGCAAGGGGTGTAAAATTTAGAGACAATACTCAAAAGACACAATGACATCGATATACAACATGGCCTACCATATCACACAAAGACCTATTCGAAAAAAGATAAGGTTAGATGGTAACAACCACCATACCAAAATTGTAACAAATAACTCATCTAGAGAAAAGATAATCCAATTTTAATAAAAGGTACACACACTATAAATATTATAAATATTAGGAAACACTAATAATAGGATATATTAACTTAAACATCGAAGTGATCTCTTTTACAAGTATTTTTCTTTATCGAAAAAATCACATTATCAAAAAAGGAGAAGAAAATCTCGTCCAGGAATATTAGTCTCAAGACCATCCCATATGAGAACACCTATTATTAGATATTAAAAAAAATCATTATACCAAAAACAAAACGACAAAAAAATTGATAAACTTTCCCTTCTTTGGAAAACTCATTATTATACAAAACCAATATTAAAATATCCAAAATAGCCCCCTTTTAATTTCAACCCATTATAGCGGGAGTAGAGTTCGAAACTAGATCAACTCTATATAATGTAAACGTTTCAAATCTTAAATTAATTGCCACTTTTAATTAATCCAAATATAGGCCCCTCCAAAAAACATAGAATATCACTCTCATTTTCAAGAGACAAAATTTACACTTAAATCAAAAGTGACTTGCTAAGGGTAATCACAAAGCTCTTTCGCAATTGTCACCCCAAACATTTGTGGCTCTGCCGCTGTGTCATCATACATCAAAGAATATGAAATTCA